CCCCGGGACTCCGTCTGAGCCGGGCTGCCGAGGTGTCCAGCCCCGCACTCCCCTTCACGTGCGGTCCCCGGCGGCTGGCCGCCGCTGACTCCGCGCGCCCACCGCTGGGCTGCCGTGCCGGGGGTTGGGGGGCGTCCCAGGCTCAGCCCCTGCAGCTGTGCGGGTCGCTGCTGGATCTGCTAACTCCTACCCGCCGTGGGCTCCGGTGGGAGCTGGGGGGGAGCCGGTGGGGAAGGCTGAAGGGGAAGCGCTGGGCCGTGGGTAATTGCGCTGGGGAGCAGAAAGTCTGTGCCCTGTGCCATCAGCTTCACTCGGCGCAGCTGAGGAAATCGCAGTGGGCGGGGGGTGGGGGCAGGTGGGAGCAGGGACGGTACAAATCAGGCTCACCGCTCCTGCTCGGCGAGGAAAGGATTGAGCTTGCAGGGGGCGGAAGGATCGTCGTGTAGGGGAGACACTTTCTGTGGTCCAGCTTCCGTTTGGCCAGGGGATACGAAGTTGCACGGGAGACATCCTGAGGATGCCTTACGGAGTAGATCAGCGAGAGAGATACGAGTAATTAATTGCAGTGTATGCAAGCGCTGACATAGACATGCAACTCCATGCGTGGAAGCTTAAGTTGCTTGAGGTTCCATGGCGTGCTTTGCATTTAATGGCTGTGCAGGCGAGTCTAACTCTTAACCCCCCTATCTAGATGTGCGAATTCGTGTGGCTGTTTTATAAGCCTGAAAGCACTGGGCTAACGGAAAGTGCCATGCAAAAGCAATTTATGGAAATATGTAATATATATGCACAGTCATAGGATTTGTATTCAAGGACCAAATGTTATCGAGCCCCTGTTTTAATATGCTGAGGAAAGGAGCTCCGTTTGAGATGTCTGGGATGATTTTTTTTTCCCCCCGGGGACTGCTTCTCCAGATCTATCAGGATTTGGGCGAGTGGAGGTGAGGAGGTAAATTCAAAGCTGCAACCGTAGTTTGACCGTTAATCTCACTACATCCTTATTAGAGTCATAATTGAGGAATTTAATTTTGTATTTTAAAGTTACCAAATAGTAATTGTATCTGTTGTTTACTGAAGCAACCATAACAGCAAGAACGACAACAAAAATCTGTTGAGAGAACGCGTTGAAGTTTCTGTAAACTGTGTGGTTGAAAACCATTCCTTTCAAGATTTCACTTTTTTGCTGAAGGCCCCACGTTGAAAGTCATAGACCTTTGATTCTCATTCAAGCAAATTAGAGAAAGCTGGGCTCTTCCTCCTGTTAAATCCTTTGGAGGTGTATCTAGAGTTTGAATGTAGGCCGAAGCAGAGAACTTGCTGTTTCTTTCTTTTTTTTTTTTTTTTTTTAGCTGAGCCATCCTGCCACCTGTTGGCAGCTCGGGCCGGGAATCGAACCAGCAACCCTGTTGCTCAGAGCTTGCACTCTTGAGCGAGCTCTTAACCAACTGAGCCACTTGGCCGGCCCAAACTTGCTGTTTCTTAAGTCCTATAATATTAATTGATGGAGCAGATGTGGGTAATCTTGCAGATAAAACCTGACTGCCAAGTTAGTTAGTAGTTGGAATAAAAAAGTTTTGGAATGACCACACGATGACAAATTATTCACTGAATTATCAGAGCTGGACTTGAGTCATATGACACTTGGAATTGTCCATTTTCCAAAACTGACTACACAGACCCAGCCCTTTGTGGATGGGATGCCTCTTGATTTACCATATTATTTCATTACTGCTTATTATCACTCATTTTTCTTAGTAGCAAGAACTACAGTGATTGAAGCAAAAACAAAAAAGGTAGTATATCATGGAAGAATATTGGGGAGTCCTCGGCATTGCTTTCAAGTCTGGAGGAAACCGAACTCTGAAAACGGGTAGGAACCAAGGACAGTTCCACCGTCGGCACTGCACTTTAGAAGTGGCTGAGGTTGGGACACAGGGAGTACGTCATTTCTGATGCTGCCTGGTGATACTGGGTACAGCGTGTATCAACAGCACCGTGACCCTGGACCCTGCTGCTGCTACTTTTGCTGCCACTGCTGCGGTTTGGGAAACTAGTTATTGCTGAAAAGTTTCTTTCTTTCTTTTTTTTTTTTTTAAATTGGGGAACAGTGTGTCTCTCTAGGACCCATCAGCTCCAAGTCAAGTAGTTGCTTTAATCTAATTGTGGAGGGTGCATCTCAGTGGCCCATGCGGGGATCGAACCAGCAACCCTGGTGCTATGAGCACTGCGCTCTAACCAACTGAGCTACCGGGCTCCCCGAAAGTTGCTTTCTTAATCATGTTTCCTTGTGATATTAGCTTGTGATTCAGAGTCCTCAGTGGTGTCCTGGATTGGTTGAGCTTAGGTCACTGCCTGCACCCTAGCTGCAAGGGAAGTTGAATAAATGAGTATTTGGCCTTTTTGGCTTATAACAGAGGAGGCAGGCCCTAATTCCCACCGATATTCACATAGTGGGGAAATCAGCAAACAGAAACATAGGAAAAGGGATATACGTAAATGTCAAATATCCAAGCAAAACAAACCAAAACAAACAACTGGATTTTTCATACTAACACTTGTTTATTAGTACTTTGTACAAAAAATATATTTGTACTTCTTTTGTGTTGCTAGGATATGGTTCACTTATGCTGCAGTCATAGGTGTCCTGTTGAATACTTCTGCTTCAGTGGTTTCTGAAGTGTCCTGTTGCAGCCTGAAAATAATGTTAGAGAAATTAAGCTTTGGGGCATTGTTTTATGCAGTGTTTTACTGCTATTGAAAGTCCTTCATTATGGGATACAGTTTGTGTGTTCCTTATCACCTTATAAGTAAAATTTGTTTCTTTGTCCATCATCAATTGTGAAGTCCTTGAGAGGAGATACTATGTCTTTCAATTTTTGTAGCCCCCGTTCCTGGCACCTAGTAAGCTAGTAGTTTGTACTTTCAACGTGGCAGAATCGCCCTCTAGCTGTCCTTGCCTTCTGCTACCTTTCATTCGAATTAAGAAATGGAATGAAAATATTAGTTTGTAACAATTAACAGTTCCATAGCGGGGAAGGGGGGAACCAAATACATACTACATAAGAACAGGTGTTTATTATAATTACTTCGTTAGTCTCCAAATGATTTATTGTTATAAGATTCTACCTGATTTCTTTTGGCTTTGGGCTGTTTTGATTTCTGCTTTAGTTCTTGCATATTTATTTTTATTGCAGAGAAACTTGAACCTGCTTTATGGCTTTTCTTGCTTTTTTTCCTGTCACTAAGGATTACCTTCTTGTTTTGCGTGTTGTGAGTGGAGAAGAAAATGAAATATGTTAGTTGGAGAAAGATTAAATGACAGATTGTTATCTGAAATAATTTACATTACCCTTTTTCTGCTGTTGCACACATTTTTAGTTTGAAGGAGCTGAAAAGATTGACAGAGGGGTTATTTGTGTTTTCTTTGTGCTTTGGTAAATGTAGCACATAAAATTCCATTGAAATGATTTTGTTTATAGGTCTTCCTAATCCCTGAGGTAGTGACCTAAGTCTGATCTTCTATCCCTGCCTGGGGCCTAGCACAGAAGAGATGCTAACTGTTGACGTTGTGAAGGGATAATATTTTGGGGAATTTTAAGTCACTGTATGTTATGTTTGTTTTTGGTTTTCTAAACTTCTAAATTGCCTGCAGTTTCCATATCAAGAGCTTCCTCTGGCAAACGCTCGTGGTAGTTTCTTCTGTAGGGTAAAGAGGATATGTCCTCCACCATTAGAGCTGAGATTGAGGCTTTAGTGCCTCCCAGGAGGAAGGAGGATGAATTGGAAGTGGAAAGCACATCTTTTTCAGCCCTGGTGGGTTGTGGGAAGAAGGGGGACAGGTAGCGAAAACAGACTGGGTAATATATGTTCTGACCTACGCTGTCTGGCCAAACTTCTGGGGTTGAGGTGAGTGTGTTCAGTGGGTTGAGGGGAAAAGTAGAAGGCCTTTGGTTCTGCTCCTTATTTGGAATCTTGGGAGGTTAGTGCTGTACCAACGTTGGGGGGCTAGCACAGCAGTGGCAGAAGGAAATGGTAGAAGGATAGATGAGCCTCTGGTAGCAGGGGATTCCGAAATGCTGTCATACCACCGTGAGAGACATGGTGGGACAGCAGTCATCATGGCAGCAGACTGTGTGACTCCAGACTAAAGGTCAGGGTCATGGATACCAGAGATAGGAGCCCGCATGCCATTCCAAAAGGCGGGATGGGATGGCAGCAGTCCAGCCATGGGACCTCATTGACTCCTTGCAGCACAGACCAGTGAGGATCCACGGAGACATCAAGATCCAATGTCTTCTTGCCACTGTAAGGATGCCCTATAAGCCCCATTTGTAGAAAAATTTACCTGAAAGCAAGTAACTGTTTAAATCAGCTCTGGTGAAGAGTTAAATGTCTGAGTATTAAGTGGAAGAGACTGAGATATTACTTGGCAAATTTTAAGTTTCTGGCTGTTTACTAGGGTGACTGTTCATGATGGAGATTACATTAATTATAGAAAAACAGCGCCATGTTCATGAGACAGGTGAGATCAATTATAAAAAATAAAGCAGCTACATTTGAGTTACAATGTGGGTAAATATGCCAGGCACTAAAGGGCAAAACGGACTGTGTTTGGTGAGATGATGGAACTATCTTGGCCAAGGACTAAACCTGGGTGGAGGCAGGAGGGAATAATACCTTCATGTATTGGGGTAAGAAGAAGGGGTGTCAGAGAAGGCAGCAGCAGTGATGGGAAGGTTTGAGGACAACTAGGGAAGTGGTTGCTGAGAGACTCAGTCTTAGGGAAGGTTTGGAATATTCTTCTGGGAGAGAAGAGTGAATTCCCTAGTGAAATGTATTGTAGTAGGATTGCTGGGAAG